TTTTCTATTTTGTTTTTAAAGTACATAACCTTCATTTTGTACTGATCATTGCAAAAATGGCACCCATTATCGGTAGCCATTTGTAGTGATGAACCAGAGGCCATTATGATATCCTGCAGAACCAATCTAGAGTCATGAATTGCTGATTGTTCAAATTCATCAATGTCCCTTTTGATTGACTAAGAGATGCTCAATATTGTGGGATGTGCAATGATTCTCAGAAAACTAAACTCTGAGTTGTATCATTGTTTTACAGAACTAATGAAGCTTTGTGGCTATATGGCAGTAGGATCTAGAAGTGTGCAGAATTCGAGGACTTCTTCTACAAGTATGTCAAAACGTAGGATGGGAATTGGGGTTACTTATCATAAACAAGTGCAGGGTATGGAATGCAACTTCAAGTGGAACGAACTCGAGAAAATGAGTCGCATCCATGCTGATTGGATTGAAGATATCCCCCTTGTACATGGCTCATCAAGCAAAGCGGAGTGCTGATCGAGTTTAGTTTGATATGTGTAAAGGAAGAGATTAGTTCTGTATTCTTCCTGCACAGATAGGAAGTTTGCTGTGTTTTCCTAGACCTAACACCTTAGTTTTGTTGAACATGTGCGGGATTGACATTTGATCTCGATACATGGCTTATGGCTTAATAATCAGAAGATGCTTCGTATGAATCCAACTCTGCTGAATCAGGAGAATCCAACTCGACCAGAAAACCAGCAAACCTAAGTCCCTACAAAGAGGGTTTTTCTTATATCTTGATTTTCCCCTATCTCTGTTATCCAGGAATTTCAGTCGTTACTTTGCTTTTTGTAAAGGCATGTTTTCTTTTTACAAGATGTGGTGTGTCAAATGGATGTAACTAGCAGAACATTGGTTTGTGTAGTGTGAACTGACTTGAAAATGTTATTTGCAAGTAACTCTCAGAGAATGCTCCTTAGCTATGTGTGTTCTTGGTTGTGTGTATGAATCTGATTTGTGGCTGCTCAAAATCTACCTTATGTGTTTGCTGTTGTGTTAGACTCTAGTTAATTCCAGTTGTTAAATTTGTAGAAAATGAGTAATGAGGAATGGTTGGTGTTTCTTTTAAATGTTGTTCTCAACAACATTTGATAACTATGCTCTGTGCATTTATTGTTCAGTGTTTCAAATTCTTATGCTCTTGTTCCTACTGTTTCGATGGTTCAATGGTAGCAGAACAGCACAATATAGCTTCTATTGCTGCCAAATTCTTGATGTATCTCTACTTTCCCAATATTCCTTTTTTATCGAATTAAAATTGCGACGACACAGTTGTTCATCTCTTTATCATCATGCCATTTTTTGGATGCAGAAGTGATGAGGGAAAAGCATGCAGAGTGCTTTAAGATTTGATGAACCTCAGAATGATTAGGCCAGCAGACATGCTATTTGTAACAGGTTGTCCAAGAAGTTGAGCAAGTTGCTCTACAAAACTGGTGCTTTATGATGTTTTTTTCAATTTTATGATGTTTGTAGAGCAAGTTGCTCTACAAAGCTACAAAACTAGTGTAGCTTTGCTTACCAAGTTACCAGTAGAAGTATGTTAAAAAATATCAAAAGTTCTAAACTTTACTGAAGGTAGCTTTGCTTAAAACATGACCATGGGGTGTGTAATTTTTTGCAAGGATCTGTCTAATTTTCTAAACGTTACAAAAGCTCCGGGCAAAAGAAAAGGGCTCATCATATTTCAAACCAACAACAAATAATAAAAGCCTAAATGTACTTCACCAAGATAAATTGAAATTTTAGAAGAAAAAAATCCTCTCCTTTATCTTGTGATATATGTATGCATTTTATTGAATATGTCTCTAAGGCTGGCTATGATTGTAAAAATGAAAAGAATTTTGCTCTTGTAGCGTATGCTTTAGGCTGAGGAATAACCTTTTCTGTGCGACAATATTCATACAGGCTACACCTACACAATATAAAAGCTCCCACGTTACCTTACAGCCTGTAAAGTAATAAAGCAATGGGTAAAGTCTTCCTGTAAGTGAATTATTGTTAGAAAGATTAAGAAATCTTTGGTGAATTTCTCTTACAATCTTGTGCGCAGAGCAAGCAAAGCAATGGGTAGCTGCTTGTCAATCTCCTTATCATGCGATGCCATTGTTTCACGCTGCTGGAATTCCGTTTTTGGAAGAGAACCGTATGTACGTAAGCTACGAGAAAACCTTCAAGCTCTCTCAACTTCTTTACAAGAACTCAAGTCTTTAAAGAATGATGTGCAAAGAAAGGTTGAGCTTGCAGAGCGGCAGCCGCGATTAAAGCGGTTAGAGCGGGTAAATAACTGGATTTTAAGCGTGGAGGCTCTTGAGACTGAAATGAACGAAGTTATTGTAAGCCATAGCACTCAAGAAATTGAGAAATTATGCTGCGGAGGTTACTGCTCCAAGAACTACAGGTCCAGCTACAAGTATGGAAAAAAAGTTGCTAGAAAGTTGGGGGAAGTGGAGGCTTTGAAAAGCAAGGGAGTTTTTGAAGAGGTGGCAACGGAAAGCTTACCTACAGCTCTAGTCGATGTGAAACCTAGTGAGCCAACAGTGGGCATGGAGCCGATTTTTTATCAGGTTTGGAGCCACGTTGAAGATGAACAAGTGGGAATGATTGGCTTATATGGAATGGGAGGGGTGGGGAAGACCACCCTCCTTACCCAGATCCATAACAACTTCAACCGCACTCGTAATGATTTCAATCTTGTGATCTGGATTGTGGTATCCAAGGGCCACAAAATTGAAGTTATTCAAGATAAGATTGGTAAAAAGATTGGGCTGTCTAGTGGTGAATGGAAGCTTAAAGAGCAGCATGAAAAAGCTGAAGACATCTTCAGAATCTTGAACACAAAGAAGTTTGTGTTATTAATGGATGATTTATGGGAGCCGGTTGAATTAACCAAAGTAGGGGTTCCAGTTCCTGACAGTCGGAACAAGTTCAAGATAGTTTTCACAACTCGCTCTGAGGAGGTATGTGGTCATATGGATGCCCAGAAGAAGATTAAGGTGGGGTGTTTGACTTGGGACAAAGCATGGAACTTATTTCAGGAGAAGGTTGGGAAAGAAACACTTCTTCTTCATCCAGATATCCTCGAGCTTGCTGAAATTGTGGCGAACGAGTGTGGGGGTTTGCCACTGGCACTCATCACAGTGGGCAGGGTCATGGCCTGCAAGAAAACACCCCAAGAGTGGAAGCATGCAGGTAATGTCCTGAGAAGATATGCCTCCGAGTTTTCAGGAATGGGAGATAAGGTATTCCCTCTTTTAAAATTCAGTTACGATAGTTTACCAAGTCAGAAAGTTAGATCATGTTTCTTATACTGTGCTCTGTTTCCGGAAGATTTTGTTATACTTAAAGATGACTTGGTATATTTTTGGATGTGTGAGGATATATTAGATGAATATGGTAATGTAGAGGAAGCCAAAAATGAGAGTTACCATATCATAGGAACTCTTCTTACCTCATGTTTGTTGGAAGATGAAGGAGATTCGGTAAAAATGCATGATGTAATTCGTGACATGGCATTGTGGTTAGCTTGTGACCTTGGGAAAGAAGGCGAGAACATCCTTGTGGATACAGGTGCTTATCGAGCACCAAATATTGCGAAATGGAAGAACGCGAAAAGGGTTTCATTGATGGGTAGTAGTGGTATCAAATGTCTAGATGAAAAACCAAGATCTCCCAATCTGTTCACCTTATTTCTCAGAGGAAGTTTTTTAAAGAGGATTGTGGATGACTTCTTTGATTTCATGCCTACGCTACAAGTTCTGGATTTGTCTGAAAATGTCCTTATAACTCAACTGCCAACTGGAGTTGCAAATCTAGTTTCATTACAACATCTGAATTTGTCCAATACAGGCATAGAATGGTTGCCGGTGGAGTTAGCAGCATGTGCACGCCTAAAGTATTTGAACTTAGAGCATACACTTAGGCTTGATTATGTTCCACCAAATTTATTATCAAGTTTCCCGCTGCTTAAAGTTTTGAGAATACTAGATTGTGGTTCTTCTAACCGAGTTTTTTTTTATAATGAGAAAACCATGATAGACGAACTGCAGGGTTTGAAACACCTTGACGTCTTGTCTTTGACAGTAGGAGGTACCTCTTGTTTCCAGAATTTGGACAGCCACCACATATTAGTGACTTGCACTCTAACTTTATGCCTCAAGGGCGAGGATTACGAGAACCCTTCAAGCTATCTTGATTTATCAGATGTGGCGAAGGCAAATATGAAATACCTTGATACCCTTCAAATTAAACATGTGGTGGATGTGTACTCTACGTGGATAACACGTCTGGAAAATCAGAATTGCTTCCTTGGTCTTCAGTTCGTAAAAGTAGTAAATTGCAGGAATCTCAAGAACCTGGAATGGCTCGTTTTTGCTCCAAATCTCATCCGCTTGTATGTATATTGCTGCTCTAAAATGACGAGAATACTCGGTTTGAACACAACGGAAACTACCCCATTTGCAAAACTCACTGTTTTGCGTTTGAGCACACTACCCCACTTGTTGAGAATATGCGAAAATCCCTTGCCCATTCCATTTCTGAAGAAAATCGTTATATATGAATGTCCAGTGCTCACTAGGCTGCCTCTCAACTCTAGCAGTGCTCAAACAAGTAATCTCATTATTGAAGGAGAGGAAAAGTGGTGGAATGGCTTAGAGTGGGAGGACCAAGCGGCTCGAAATGCTTTTCTTCCCTGCTTCAGACCCTGTAAGTGAGGAGGGGCTTCCCTGAAATGTCCGTTCACCAGTTTAATTGGATACATCTTTTTATTCCAATAGCATTTAAGGCAATGTATTATAGTCCGGCTATGTACATGATGTCTGAACTTTAATAATTGCATGATTGTCAATATGTTATCACTAATGTATTGATATTATTATCGCCAACAAATCGTTCCGACATGTTGATGGTTCTGGTTAATTTTACAACAAGAGGTCTCGAGGTATGAATTTTGACACAACAAGAGGTATGTTAGGTATATTTTTGGATCATGTTTCTTATACCAAGTCAGAAAGTTAGATCATGTTTCTTATACTGTGCTCTGTTTCCGGAAGATTTTGTTATACTTAAAGATGACTTGGTATATTTTTGGATGTGTGAGGATATATTAGATGAATATGGTAATGTAGAGGAAGCCAAAAATGAGAGTTACCATATCATAGGAACTCTTCTTACCTCATGTTTGTTGGAAGATGAAGGAGATTCGGTAAAAATGCATGATGTAATTCGTGACATGGCATTGTGGTTAGCTTGTGACCTTGGGAAAGAAGGCGAGAACATCCTTGTGGATACAGGTGCTTATCGAGCACCAAATATTGCGAAATGGAAGAACGCGAAAAGGGTTTCATTGATGGGTAGTAGTGGTATCAAATGTCTAGATGAAAAACCAAGATCTCCCAATCTGTTCACCTTATTTCTCAGAGTAAGTTTTTTAAAGAGGATTGTGGATGACTTCTTTGATTTCATGCCTACGCTACGAGTTTTGGATTTGTCTGAAAATAGCCGTATAACTCAACTGCCATCTGGAGTTTCAAATCTAGTTTCATTACAGCATCTGAACTTGTCCAAAACAGGCATAAAACGGTTGCCGATGGAGATAACGGCATGTGCATGCCTAAAATATTTGAACTTAGAGCGGACGTTCATGCTTGTTCCCCCAAATTTATTATCAAGTTTCCCGCTTCTTAAAGTTTTGAGAATACTAGATTGTGGCTCTTCTAGCGGAATTTTTTTTAATAATGAGAAAACCATGATAGACGAACTGCAGGGTTTAAAACACCTTGACGTCTTGACTTTGACAGTAGGAAGTACCTCTTGTTTCGAGAATTTGGACAGCCACCACATATTAGTGACTTGCACTCTAACCTTATGCCTCAAGGGCGAGGGTGGGTTTAGTTACGGGTACCCTTCAAGTGATGTTAATTTATCACCTGTGGCAATGGCAAATATGAAATTCCTTGATACCCTTCAAATTAAACGTATGGCGGATGTGTACTTTTCGTGGAAAATACCTTTGGAAAATCCGAGTTGCTTCCTTGGTCTTCAGTTCGTAGAAGTAGTAGATTGCATGAATCTCAAGAACCTGGAATGGCTCGTTTTTGCTGCAAATCTCATCCACTTGCATGTATATGGCTCCTCTAAAATGACGACAATACTCGTTTGTGAGGAAATTGTGGGTTATACATTGACCCCATTTGCAAAACTCACTGTTTTGCGTTTGAGCCAACTTCCCCGCTTGCGGAGAATATGCGAAAATCCCTTGCCCGTTCCATTTCTGAAGAAAATCCTTATATCTGGATGTCCAGTGCTCAGTAAGCTGCCTCTCAACTCTAGCAGTGCTCAAACAAGTAATCTCATTATTGAAGGAGAGGAAAAGTGGTGGAATGGCTTAGAGTGGGAGGACCAAGCGGCTCGAAATGCTTTTCTTCCCTGCTTCAGACCCTGTAAGTAAGGAGGGGCTTCCCTGATATGTCCGTTCTCCAGTTTAATTGAATTTATTCCAATAGCATTTAAGGCAATGTATTATAGTCCAGCTCTGTACATGATGTCTGAATTTTAATAATTACATGATTGTCGAGATGTTATTGCTAATTTATTGATCTTATTAAAGCCAACAAATCGTTCCGACATGTTTACCACAAGAGGTCTCTAGGTTATGGATTTTGACACTACTAAGTTTAATTGGTCGAAAATGTTGATTAGTTTTTGGATCCAGCTTAAGTTTAATTTGCTAATGTTTCCATGTTATAAGTTTGGTAATATGAGATGTTATACTGTTCGTATATTTCCCTTTATTAATCCAACCCAACTAATGTAATAAAGAAACAGTGGTTTTTCAATTAAAATTTATTATTAGTTTATGAACTTAGCATATAAAATGCATAGGAAGTTGTTTCTTATTTTATTTTATAGAAAATTTCTGGATCCGCCATTGGCCATGGCCTATAAAAGCTATAGATTCCTTTCACTGATTCATCAGAACCAGAACCAACCAGTAGAGCTTTACTTATTAAAAGAAGATTATGAACTTGAATGTTAGAAGAGGCACCCAGGATATGGATATTTGACATGAACTTGAATGTTAGAAGAGGCATCAAATCTCTTTTGTATTGATGGAGTTTCTTTACTTTTTCACTGATCAATGTCTGCAGTTTTGATTATTTTCATAGGTCTATCATCTATGCATTATATGCCAAAGATAGTGTAATTGAGAGAGTATAGAAGCTGAAAATAGAGAGGTTTTGCAGAGAATGCAAATCTAGAATTGTATTACTCACATGGAGAGATATATGCAATTGTACATGGTTAATTATTAGTTACACCTAATATCACAAAACATGGAGAGTTTCCAGGATTTGTGTTTCACTAAAACATGGATATGTAAACATGGAAAAATATGAGAGATGGTAGACAAGCTTTTCCTTGGTTTAGGGACTTGTCTATGTCTTGTCTTTGTCTTAACTAACATTATAAGGGTTATCTTAAGAAAGTTCTTTTTCTATGATTCTTTTGTTTTTAGTTATAGGGGTTATAAGACTAACTAGCTTTGTGCAAATTTGCTCTATCGTTCAAACAGAAGAGATTGATTTCAAAATAGTGCACTGCCAATGACTCAATGCAAAGAAACAGGATAGCATGGAATTTATCTCCATCTATTCGGAAAACCTTTTCAAGATGTTTCAAATCTCTAACGCCATCCCCAATGCTAAAGGGGCTAAATCCAAATTTTCACCTTTTAAAACACAACTATTAATGCATTGTCCGGACTCAAACAATTTTTCCCCCAACCCTCCAGACTCACTGTAGCCTTATTAAATTATTTTAAAATAGTTTTACTCTTTTTTTTTTTTGGTAGTGAATTTTTCTAAACATTTTAACCTATAAAAAATTAAAATTCGACAAATTTAATTTTATTTCAATTAAAATGAAAACTTGTATGCCATTATCCCACATGGCTTGAATTATTTTCTAACTTAGTGCCCATCTCTGTAAAATATTTGAATCTTATATTTCATATGTGGGAAAGGTTACAATATTTATATTTGTACAACGGAGATATAAATGGTAATAGCCTTAAATGATAGTAAATATAGAATATTTGCACAGCAGGTCAATGGTTAGGAGTGAGAAGAATCAGATCCTTATTCTTCTCCCTTGATGAGTGCATTTGCGTTGACACCCACCCGCAAACTAAGCGGCCTAGGACGAACAAGTTTGTTACAGAGGAGATGATGACGCAGTTTGTGAAGAGGCTTAGTAAGGAGATCAGCTGGTTGATCAATAAAGGGAATGAAGCACACTTGATGACTACCAAGAGCAACCTTCTCACGAACAAAGTGATAGTCGAGTTCGATGTGTCGCGTTCAAGCATGAAAAACCGGGTTGGCAGCCATATAAGTGGTGCTAAGGTTGTCACAGTGCAGGAGAACAGGAAAGTGCAATTGGACACCTAACTCAAATAACAGTGAACAGAGCCACGAGGATTCGGCGCAAGCATGAGCAAGAGCGCGGTACTCAGATTCTGTACTTGAGCGGGAAACAGTGGGTTGCTTCTTGGAGCACCAGGAGATAAGGTTGGAGCCCAAGTAGATAAGGTAGCCAGTCGTAGAACGGCGCGAGTCAAGGCAACCTGCCCAATCCGCATCTGAGTATACCAGAAGTCGAGAAGAGGCATGTTGCGGCTGGAAAGTGAGACCAAAATCAAGTGTGCCTTTGACATAGCGAAGGATCCGTTTGACAGCAACCATGTGAGTAGAGCGAGGGGAGCTCATAAATTGGGCAACAGTGTTGACTGCAAATGAGATGTCAGGGCGGGTGAGGGTGAGATACTGTAGACTCCCAACAAGTTCACGATATTTAGTGGGAGAGTCAAGCAAGGCACCCTAAGTTGCTGTGAGTAGTGGTTTTGCGGCAAGGGGAGTAGGGGCAGGCTGTGCATGTATGAGATTACTCTTTTGAAGCAAATCATGAGCATATTGAAGTTGATTAAGATGAAAAGCACCATCCTGAGAATGAACCTGTAAACCCAAGAAGTAGCTAAGAGGACCAAGGTCCTTAATGTCAAAATTGTGACCCAAAAGAGCAATAAAGGTTTGTAAGAGAGAGGAATCGCTGCCAATAATGACTATGTCATCAACATATAGGAGAAGAAACATAGTAAGGTCTCCGAGTAGTCAATGCCTGGACGTTGGTGGTAGCCCTTAGCAACTAGGCGTGCTTTATAGCGTTCTATAGTGCCATCAGAATTATGCTTGATGCGAAAGACCCATTTGCATCCGATAGGAGTATGATTGGAAGAAGGAGGAACAAGGGACCAAGTTTTATTTCGTAGCAAAGCATTGATTTCTTCCGACATTGCAACACGCCATTTAGAATGTTTGGTAGCCTGAGAAAAACAAGTTGGTTCAGTATTTTGAAGCACAGTTAAAAGAGCACGGGGAATAGGGTATCGTATAGTGCCATCTGTGTAGTGCTTGGGCTGCATGATGCCGTCATGGAGACGAGTCCACATTGGATGAACATGTGGCAGCGGCGCTGGTCCTGTAGGTTGTGGGGGTGCAAGGTCCGTAGTGGCAAGTGGATCATGGATTAGCTGTGCTGGCGCCGTTGGTATGCGATGTCTTCTGGAGTATGTGTGGAGCAAGGGCTGGACTGGTTATGAAGATGGAGGAGTGTCGGAAGCTTGTGGAAGGATAGAGGTGCCAGAAGCATGTGGTGTGATGGAGGTGCCGGAAGCTTGTGGAAGGATGGGGGTGCCGGAAGCTTGTGGGAGGATGGAGGTGCCGGAACCTGGGGGCGGCAGAGGTGCTGGAAAAGGGGCCGGTGGCTGTGCTGTTGTTGCAAGGTCGGATGAGTCATGAAGTGATGGACTTGGAGGATGTGATGGAGGCATGGGCCTGGTAAGGGAACCCATGAGGGTTGGGCACACAGGATTAAATTCCAGTTCTGTGTAACAAGGAGAGGGAGGTACCTGCAAGCTTTCAAAGGGAAATTTATTTTCATTAAAAACATGGCGTGAGGTGTAGACACGGCCAATAGAAGGATCCAAGCAGCGATAGCCTTTGTGATTAGGACTATAACCGAGAAACACACACTCAGTGGTGCGGTTGGCAAGTTTATTTTCTGTGTATGCACGGATCCACAAAGCCATGGGGCTGAATCATGTACATGTCCTCGTTCAGAAACCCATGAAGAAAAGCGTTCTTGACATCTAGGTGGCGCAAGGGCCAGCCACGGGAAGTAGCAAGACTGAGTACCGTGCGAATGGTGGGTGGTTTGACAATGGGGCTGAAGGTTTCCGAGTAGTCAATGCCTGGACGTTGGTGGTAGCCCTTAGCAACTAGGCGTGCTTTATAGCGTTCTATAGTGCCATCAGAATTACGCTTGATGCGAAAGACCCATTTGCATTCGACAGGAGTATGATTGGAAGATGGAGGAACAAGGGACCAAGTTTTATTCCGTAGCAAAGCATTGATTTCTTCCGACATTGCAGCACACCATTTAGGATGTGTGGTAGCCTGAGAAAAACAAGTTGGTTCAGTATTTTCAAGCACAGTTAAAAGAGCACGGGGAATAGGGTATCGTATAGTGCCATCTGTGTAGTGCTTGGGCTGCATGATGCCGTCATGGAGACGAGTCCACATTGGATGAACAGGTGGCAGCGGCGCTGGTCCTGTAGGTTGTGGGGGTGCAAGGTCCGTAGTGGCAAGTGGATCATGGATTAGCTGTGCTGGCGCCGTTGGTATGCGATGTCTTCTGGAGTATGTGTGGAGCAAGGGCTGGACTGGTTGTGAAGATGGAGGAGTGTCGGAAGCATGTGGAAGGATAGAGGTGCCGGAAGCATGTGGTGTGATGGAGGTGCCGGAAGCTTGTGGAAGGATTGAGGTGCTGGAAGGTTGTGGGAGGATGGAGGTGCTGGAACATGGGGGCGGCAGAGGTGCTGGAAAAGGGGCCGGTGGCTGTGCTGTTGTTGCAAGGTCGGATGAGTCATGAAGTGATGGACTTGGAGGATGTGATGGAGGCATGGGCCTGGTAAGGGAACCCATGAGGGTTGGGCACACAGGATTAAATTCCAGTTCTGTGTAACAAGGAGAGGGAGGTACCT